TCGGTGGCCTCTGTGGCCCCCTCCGACTCGCGCTCCTCTGGACACGGTTTTGCAGTTTTCATTATCCTTCCGCCCCAGTCTCCCAACATCCCGCTTCTTTTCAGGGTTCCACGAGATTTGTGTCTGACACCAGTTCGCAGCTGTACGTCCCCCCGTGGGGGTATCCACGATCTGTTCTTTCAAGGGGGTGGTACGTGGCGCTGTTTATGGCGCGACCCATGGCGAAACTTATTGTTAACCTGTGTTGGAGTGGCTGGCGCAAGCCATGGTGCACGCTGAATCGCCACTCGCAGCGCAAATCATAGTCCTCCCTCCTTCTTGCCCTTCCCCTCCCTTCCTCCGATCCCTCCGTCCTGGTTCTCCCCCGTTATCTGTTACCCTTTGCTTTCAAGGGCTTCACCAACCACGCGTGGCATGGAATGAGTATACCCCAAAAGGGGGTGCGATCGAAGACGAAGAGGGCGGGCGTCGAGGTTTTGGAATGGACGCCTTGAATGGCACGTGGGCAGATAAGAGCGAACAGTCTTACCATGATTGTTGTTGTTGTTGCTGCTGTTGTTGTTGTTGCTGCTGTTGTTCTTGCTGTTGTTGTTGTTGTTGTTGAACATTATTTATTCTAAAAAATAATTATTGTTGGGCCCCCTGGTGCGCGCCCCCCCTGCGCCGCCTAGGCCGCAGCTACATTTTCATCATTTTCGTGAGGAAGCCTCAGAAAAGAGGGTGTGTACAGGATCCGGTTGTTTTGTTGTAATCCGCTTTCCCTTGCAAAAAACAATAGAAAATGACATTTCTTGTTCTAATATAATCAAATTTCAAGAATCCCTTGCAAAAAATAAGGTAAAGTGGACATTCGCGCGCGCAAGACGAAATCCTTCCAAAACCTTAGTTTTCGTAGCGATTTTAACATAAAAACATCAAAAAACCAATGGTTTTTCAACAAAAAATTGTCAAAATTTCATCCCGCGCGCTCTTGCGGATTCGTAGGAAACCCAACACTTTTTAAACATTTCTGTCAAACGGGCTTTTGCGAGCAACTTTTTCGAACTTCTGCAACAACGGTTGCGCACCTGCCAGGGCCATCATCCCTGTCAAATAATACCATGCGGGACACATTCGTTTTTTCTTCGCGCGCGCACGCCGTCGTCGTCGGCCGCGGGGCCCTGAATAGTAGCCACGGTCGTCCGCATGCCACGAAGTGAAGTGTCCGAACGTCATAGGGCGGGAAGCTGGGTGTGGGTGGTGGCGAAGAGTCGTTTGGAAATTTGGTAGAGCTTGAACCGGCCCCCCCACAAAGTGGGGGTAGTGCCCGCCTCCTATGAAAACCCTGGCACTGGTGAGAACGGAGTGTCCCCACGTGCTAGTAATTGCTGCCGTTGTTGTTGTTGTTGTTGTTGTTGTTGTTGTTGTTGTTGAATTCTCATTCCCGAAGAATGATTATGGATGATCCTCCCCCAGTGGTGCACATTGTTTTTTCTCAATCAAAGTGTACCCCCTCGACGCTTGCACCCCGTTTTTGACAGGGAAAGTCATCCTGGTCAAACTGGGCCCCTGGCCCCCGGGTTACAACAACAACGGCTCCCGTCTGAGATTTCTTTACAATTTAGCCAGGACCCCCGCTCCCGCCCGAGACTTCCTCGCATTTTATTCAAGAATCGCGCTCTCGCTTGGGACTTCCTTACCATTTATTCAGGAATCGCTCTCCCGGCGCTCTGGAGTCGCGCTCTCGCTGGAGACTTGCTTGCAACTTACTGAAGAAAGGCCTTGCGTTGGAATTTCTTGCAATTTGCCCAAGCGCCGCGCTCCCGACACCCAGGCACCCAGGAGTCGCCCCCGTTGTGGCCCCATGTGCATGCCCTTCGTGGCCCCGCTGTCGCCATTTGTATCCCCCTCACTGTCCTACGTGGCCCAGTTGCTACCCTCAGTGGCCCCATAGTTGCCCTCTGTGGCCCCGCATTATCTGCACTTCGTGGCCCCCGCACGTTTGCGCTCTTCGTGGCCCCATACGCATTCCCTTCGTGTCCCCGCTGTCGCCTTTCGTGGCATACTTCGTTCCCTTCGTGGCCCTGCTGTCGTTCTCTCTCGCTCTCGCTTTCGCTCGACGCCGCCGTCGTCGTCGTCGTCGTCGTCGTCGCCGTCGTCCTCGACGTCGTCGTCGTCGTCGTCGTCGTCGTCGTCGTCGTCGTCGTGGTCGGTCCCCTGTCCGTCCCTCTTGGGGTCGGGTCGACGGTCCGCGGCCGCCCTGCCGATCAGCGCTGCCGCTGGCCAGGCCGACGGTCCGCGGCCGGGCCGCCGCTTGCCGGGGCCCGGCCTGCAGGGAAGAAAGTATACCCCTCAAAAGGGGTTCGATCGAAGACGAAGAGGGCGGGTATCGAGGGTTTGGGAAATACGTGTTATTGGACACTCGAGCATACAAGGGCGAACAGTCTTAGAATGAGTGTTGTTGTTGTTGTTGTTGTTGCTGTTGCTGTTGCTGTTGCTGTTGCTGTTGCTGTTGTTGTTGTTGTTGTTGTTGTTGTTGTTGTTGTTGTTGTTGTTGTTGTTGTTGTTGTTGTTGTTGTTGTTGTTGTTGTTGTTGTTGTTATCGTCGTCGTCGTTGTCGTCCTCGTTCGTCGTCTTCGTTCTCGTCCGCACCTCCGTCGTCGTGTTGTCAAACAGACCAGCGACGCCTGGGAGAGCTATGGTCCTTATCCTCCCCCTTGGGGACCCCTCGGCTTCGACGCCCCTCTCGAGAGATCGTCGGGGCGCTAGATTCCTCTGGGGGGGGAGGGGGTAAAGGAACACAGCTCCCCCAGTCGTGGCCGGTCGGTCAAGCGTCGAACGTGACCACCCACCCAGAGTCTAGTCGGGGCCCCTTATTCCGGTTGCTTGACGCGATGCGTGCGATGCCGAACAACAGCGCGTTCGCGGAGCGGGTGGAGTTTACAGATGTGCTGGAGTTCTACCTGTCACCCACCTGGTTCAGGGCGGCCATGTTATGCTACTTCGCATACCTGGTAGTCACTCTGATGTCATACCTCATCCAGACCGCGCAGGTCTTGGACTACATCGTGCTCCGGGTTACTGGGGGCGCATACGCCCTGGAGTTGTGGCCCAGGCAGCGCGGCGTGCTCGGTACCCTGCTCGACTCTTGCTCTCCGTTCGACGGGAGCACGGTGGTGCTGTCCAGCTCGTTCGCTCTCGTGGCTCTCATTTGCGCTCCGTTCGCGTGGATGAACCTTGACGACAACATCACGCTGCAATGGATTGCCACTTGCGGCTTCTTGATCATCGTCGTGGTGTGGCTCGGACTTCTTGCAGGCCAGCCGTTTTTTCCAGGACGGCTGCCAGTCGCCACCACTTCCCTTGGCAACGTCACAGGCACGCTGTTGTTCAATTTTGCATTCACGAGTGGGGTGCCTTCTTGGGCCAACGAGAAGAGACCTGATGTCTGTGCATCCACGTCTTTTTGTGTTTCCATCGGTTTTGTCTGCGTAGTGTATTCGATGGTTGGGATAGTTGGTGGCCTTGCCTACGAGCCTTTCTACGAGACGGATGAGAACCTGTTCAGCAAGCTTAATGCTAGCGGGTCGTGGCTTGCGCAGGCCACTGTGGCTCTCTATCCCATGCTGCAGAACCTCACTTCCATCCCCGTGTTCTCGATCATGATACGGTATAACTTGACACGGACATTCCCATCCTTGGGCCACTCGCCGGCGATGGCCGCCGCCTTCTTGCTGCCCTGGGCGCTGAGCATCCCATTTTACACCGGCAGAGGCTTCGAGCTCATCTCGGAGGGCGCCAGCCATAAACCGACGCCAGTCCTGGCCTGGCCCGGGATCGGTGGGGGCGCCCTCAAGGCGGCAGCAGGAAAGGCGCATGCCCACCGAGCACAGGCCCACGGCAGGCCTGGGCGTCGGCACGTGGCTGACGTCCCCCCGGCCGTCTCCGACGTCGGGGGCATGCTCTTTTCGTCCGTGGTGAACTTCCTGGCCCCCCTCGCGGTGTACGCTCTCGCGGCCAGCGCGTGGCGGAGCGGGCTTGACGCCAGCGGGAGGGAGCTCGCGGCCGTAGAGGAGCGCGAGGCGCCTGCGATGGGAGTCAGTTGCTCCCTTCTCTCCTCCTCCTCCTCCTCCTCCTCCTCCTCCTCCTCCTCCTCCTCCTCCTCTGGAGTCTTGCATGGCGTGTGGCCCGCGCTGAAACAAAAACACCTCCACCCCCTCCTGCGCTGATGCGTTTTAGGGCTTCATTCGTGTCGCTCCATGCCCTGTTCCTGAAACCATCGGTGGACAGAGTGACGCGCGGATCGGCAGGATGATCGTCGCGCCTTCCCCTTTTGCCTGCTCCTCCCCACCTCCAGAAGATGCGCTGCGCCTGCGTGAGCTGCGATTCAAAGAGGGCTGGGGAGCCCACCCTCCTGCGCTCCCCCAGCATCCTCCGACCCTCCCTCGCTCCCCTCCCCCTCCACCCGCGGCAGGAGGTGAGCTGCCCCCCCAGCCATCTCCGAGTGTCAAGGGATAAACAAAAACGCTCCTACCCTGGTTTACGAGGCGCTGTGCGCTGAACCTCCTGTGGGGTGTCAGTGTAAACTTTGCGTCTCGAGCGTGTCGCGCGGCGTCCTGGCGGCTTTTTGGCCTTTGGGAGCCTCCCAGGAGGAAAAACAGACCGCGCACTTGTAACACAGGATAGGGGCGTTTCTCTATCCCGGAGGAGTGGGCGGTGCCACCAGAGGGGCTGTGCCCGCGGCCCCACCCAGCGCCCACCCGGGCCACCAGCCAACCAGCCCCTTGCCCCGCCGCCCCCCGGTTCTCCGCTGCCCCCCCTCGCCCCCCTGCCGCCCCCCCCGCTCGCCCCTCCCTGCTCGCTGCTCTCTCTCCCACCTCCCCCTTCGACCAACTCCTCTGCCCACCTCCGCTCGCCCCTCCCTCGCCTCCCTGCTCCCTCGCCTCGCTTCGCCTGCCCGCCGCCCCCCCGGCTCTCCGCCTTGGCTCCCGCGCCTTCCGCCCCGCTGGGGCGCGCCCGAGGATGCCAGCGTCGGCGCCGCAGCGAGCCTCTCGTCGGCGCCCGACGCCGTCGCGGGCCCGCGGCCTCCGCAGGACCTCCCCCCTGCTTCCCTCCTCCCTCCTCCTGCTCCTCTTCCTCCCGCCTCCTCCCTCCTCCACCCCCCTCCCGCCTCCACTACTCTTCCTCCTCCTCCTCATCCTGCTCCTGCTGCTCCTCCTCCTCCTCCTCCTCCTCCTCCTCCTCCCGCCTCCTCCTCCTCCTCCTCTTCCTCCTCCTCCTCCTTTCCTCCTCCCGTCTCCCTCCTCCCGCCTCCTCTCTGCTGCCTCCTCGTCTTTCTCCTCTTCTTCCTTCCCTCACTCTCCTCCGCGATGACGGATCCCCCAGAGGCCTGCAGAGCCCCAGGACGGGCCAAGAGCGTCCACAAGGTGATCCGCGATTTTCCATGCTCGAGCCTCGACGGTGACGACGAAGGCGCTCCTGTGAAGGCCCAGAACGAGGATCAAAACCGACGGCGGCGGCGACGTCGCCGGCGGTGGCGGCTGCGACTGCGACGGCGACGACGACGGCAAACCGTCGGCGCAGGCCGCAGACCCGTCGCCCGCGGAGCTCAGCAGTGCCCGGGCCGCAGCCGGGTGCCATGCTGGGAGAGCAGAGGCCGGCCCGCGCCAAGCCAGCGTCATCCTGAGTGAGCCAGAGGAGGGAGGGAGCAGGGAGGGGTGGGGAGGCGCTGCCGTGGACATAGGGGGAATATCATGGATTGATCTGTGGGCATCTCCCCCACCCGCTGCAATGTGCGGGAGGAGTAGAGGTTTATGCCCCCCTGCATAACTCTCAGGTGCCCAAGGGTGTGTGAAACGGAGTTAGCCACGGACAACCATATGGTTCTGGACATCTGGGTCACTGGGCCCGACCAGGATCTCAGGAATGTTGCGTTCAGCGAGCTTTTGTGTGACATCTTTGTTCGGGCCAGGGGTTTTGGGCTGCACATCATCACCCCTTCCAAGGTCAGAAGTCAGATGTCTCGTTTCCGTGCGTTGGATCGAGGGGTCCGTTTGTGGCTGGGACTGGGAACAGCGAAGCCGACAGGTCGGTCAGGATGGGGGCGGAGCTGCACCCCCACATTGCAAGAAATTCGGAGGCAATGCGCGGCCAGGAGATCCTGGTAGGCCAGATCGTGACCCTCGTTCACGCGACGATGAGGAGTCGGTCTGTGCTCGCCCTCCCCGATGTCCAAACTGTACGAACGACGTTCCGTGCCCGTCCCTCCCACCTCGAACTGGTGCCAGAAGTGCACGATTTGCGGAGAAGCGAGCAGTATAGTAGCTAGTCGCAGGGTGGAGTGTCGTGGCATCCCCAGGATAGCGGGGTCAGCCCACCCGACCCATTCTGTCTGGCGGGGGGGGAGGGCGCGCTGCTTCGTGCTCCAGGTGCGGCGTGTTCGGGACAGCTCGGTCGAACTACCGGACAGCAGTGCGCCACTCCCACCCCCGAAATTCGTAGACAGCAGAAAGTGCTTGCACACGCTGATGTTTGGCGTGGGCCCGTCCGCTCGGAAAGGGTTCGGACGGAGTCCGTGCATCCAGCTGTGAGCCGCCTGTCGTGTCGTGCTGCCGCCGCTGCCGCCCTTCGACGGCTTCAGCGACTCCCGCACGGGCAGGCCACGCTGCTCTCCTTGCTTTCTTGCGGCCTGTGTCTTGCAGCCTGTGGTGCGGGACGCCTGCCTTTGAATCCAGAGGAGGAGGAGGGGGAGGAGGAGAAAGAGGAACAGAAGGAGGAGGGAGGAGGAGGATGAGGAAGAGGAGGAGAAGGAGGGGGATGCTGCTGCTGCTGATGATGACGATGCTGATGATGACGATAGTGACGATGATGTAGATGACGTTGATGACGATGATGATGGTGATGCTGCTGCTGATGATGATAACCATGCTGCTGATGCTGATGCTGATGATGCTCATGCTGATGCTGCTGATGATGATGATGACGATGCTGATGCTGATGCTGATGGTGATGATGATGATGATGATGATGATGTTGATGATGTTGATGACGATGATGATTATGATGATGCTACTGATGCGGATGCTGATGATGCAGATGCTGATGTTGATGATGATGATGATGCTGCTGCTGCTGATGATGAGGATGATGATGCTGCTGACGATGATCATCATGATGATGATGCTGATGCTGATGCTGATGATGCTGATGCTGATGCTGCTGCTGATGATGATGATGACGATGCTGATGCTGATGGTGATGATGATGATGATGATGATGCTGATGATGATGATGATGATGATGATGATGTTGATGATGATGCTGCTGATGATGATGATGATGCTGCTGATGCTGATGATGATGATGCTGCTGACGATGATGATGATGATGATGATGATGATGATGATGATGATGATGATGATGCTGCTGATGCTGATGATGATGATGATGCTGCTGCTGACGATGATCATGATGACGACGATGATGATGATGATGATGATGATGCTGCTGCTGCTGCTGCTTGATGATGATGATGATGATGATGATGATGATGATGATGCTGATGATGATGATGATGATGATGATGAGGAGGAGGAGGAGGAGGAGGAGGAGGAGGAGGAGGAGGAGGAGGAGCTGGAGGAGGAGGAGAAGGAGGACGAGGAGGCGGAGGAGGAGGAGGAGGAGGAGGAGGACCAGTGTCAACCCAAGACTCATCTACGATGTTGTAATAAACCGTCCCTCCGAGCTCCCTGTTCATAGGCCGCATACGGGGATTCATTTTGACAAAGGAAATGCCCCGTTGGAAAATATCGGTTTTCAATTTTGAACTGTACCAGAACACCGTTATCGGGACCTCAGCGCCCCGAATCACCAGTATTGTTCCGAGTTTACGATCCTGAATCCTGAATCGTGCCAGAACACCATTCCAGGGCGAATCAACGTAACTGTTGCGCCCTGACAGTCCGACATATGGCCAAAACACCGTTTCCTGAACGATAGCCATGAAAATCCGTGCAGTTCGCGATTCGCATTTCGCAATCATAACAGCCTCCACGGCGCGCGCGCCGGCGACCCCCAGCGCCCGTTCTGCGGACCTTGCGGCTCAGAGCTGCCCGGTGGGAGGAGGTCAGAGTCATGCAGCCGACGAGGGACAGGCGGTGGTGTCACACGCCCGTTCCCTCCCCCTGCTGGTTCCAGAGCACTCAGGAGCAGGCCGCCCGCAACCAGCCGCTTTCCCCGCGGAGTCGGGAAGCGCCGCTCGCTGGAGTTACGTTCCGCAACATTCACGCGGAGGACTACTCTGGGGGCAGGAAAGGGACATGATGTAAGGGGGTGTGGTGCCGGTGCTGGATCTGGCGAGGTTATATCGTAGATGACATCGCCATTTCCACGATTGGCACCACGCCCTTTTATGCCACACCCTTTTTGGACCTCCAGGACTACTTCCGAAAGCCAGCCGACGCCCACCCTTCCCCTCGCCAAGGCGCCCCGCCCCCCCCTCTGGCCAGAAAGCCACGCGAGTCGACACGGCGACCCCAGGGGCGACGAGCGGACCCAGGCTGGGCACAGGGCGGCACAGAGGACCAGGCACAGCCTCCAATGGGAGGGGGCTTGGGAAAGGGCGGCACCGAGGGTGATGTTGCAACCGGGCGGAGGAACAAGTGACAACACTGCGGACGCCCTCGAGGCGGGGCCTGGCCGGACGAGGGGGCAAACACGAAGGGGGGGAGGGGGCCGCAACAGGCCGTCCCCAGGCCGACAGGCTCTGGACCGAGTTACGCGCTCCGAATCAGGCCTGTGAAGCAGAGGGGACGCTGCTGTACGCTAAAACCGCGGGCCCGCGAGAGGGAGAGGCCGCAACGTAAGGGAGGAGGGGACTCGCCGACGCCGGACAACGAGGTAGCCAAAGCAGGACAGAAGCGGAGCATGGCTGCTCGACAGCACTCCAGGGCTCGACACGACTCACCGCATCGTGACTGTTAAGTAACTGCGCAGAGACTGAAGGACTCGCTTAGGGCCGTATTACGACTGTGGAGAACGAGAGCCGGAGGTAACACAGACGGGTCAGGGAACGCGGCGAGGCCAGCGAAGAGTGGGGCAGAAAGCGAGCACGGAAGAAAACGGGAAGCAGCCGAGGGCCCGAGGCTCGAACCGACGTTGTAGGAGAGACGCCGCACATTTTTTTTTTTTTTTTGATTTTTGTCCAACGCTTCGCGCTTCCAGGCGGAGTTCCGGGACGCGCCGTTCACCCGCCAAACTACCTCCGCAGGCCTGCCGACGCCCCCCCCCCCACCAGGGAGCCAGGCTTCCCCCGGCCGCCAAGCCAGGCGAAGCGACGAGGCGACCCTGGGGGCCCGTCGCCAGGTTCTGAGAGGAGAGTGCCCCAGCGGGCGGCCAGCGCTGCCCCCGACTCGGCGGAAGCGGCGGGGGCGAGCCAGGCGGAGCATCTCAGGGGTTACGATAGGGGATGATATGCATAGGGGGGATGCATCGACCCCCATTCGCCCATTGATCGCCGATAGGGGCCCCATAGCCCCAACCTGCCCAGGAAGGTGCGGATTCACTATCGGAGGCCTATCGCCGATCTATCGGCGATGTATACCCAATTCCAGGTCTATGCTTCCCCCCCCGATGCCTATCCCCCACATCGTTGCCCCTCAGGACCAGGGGGGAGAGGGGGTAGCCAGGGTCAAGCGCGCGCGCGTCCGCGCCGCTGCAGCCCCTGCGGCGGCGCGTCGGGCTCGGGCGCCTGCGCCCGCGGCCGACGCTGCAACGCACAGCGCAGCGCGCCTGCTCAAGCAATTCGCTGGGTGGGAGTTTGACCCGCGCCGGGGCGCCCTGCGCAGGTGCTCGGGACAGGCTCGGGCGCCGCCGCCGCCGACTTGACGTCGATGGGTTCGCCCGGGAACAGTAGGAGGTCTTCCAGGCGCGTCTCGAAAGCCCCTCGCTTGCCTTTGGCGACGGGTTTCCCGAAGTTCTTGCTCTCGATCTGTGCAGTGAGCTTGGCAGTTTGCGGCACTTTCCAGGCGATCTCCACGCCAGGCTGCGTGGAAGGAGGGGGGGCGAAAGCCGGCTTGCCGTTTTCAGGGGCAGCGGTAAGCACTGCGCCCATGGTCTTTCAAACGCAGCCATGGAGACGCGCCCGTCCGTGGAGTCTCCCACCAACTTGTGAGGCCATCGGCTGGTCCGAGCCGACCATGCCTTGGCCGTCCCGCCTCGAGGCTCCGTACCGAGGCAGCCTGAGGGGGGCCGACGGTGTCGGACTTCGCTGGCCGAGGTCTTCGGGCGCCCTTCGGCCTTCCTTGGGCCTCTGGGGCCTCCCACGTCCTCGTCGAGGTGCTGGCCAGGACGCGCCTTCTGGACAGGCCCTGGGGGCGAGTTTTGATTTGGGGAGGAGGAGGAGGAGGAGGAGGAGGA